ATCTCTAATTTTCTTGAAGAGATCTCTAGTCTTTCCCATTCTATTGTTTTCCTCTATTTCTTTGCATTGATCACTGAGGAAGGCTTTCTTATCTCTTCTTGCTATTATTTGGAACTCTGAATTCAAATGAATATCTTTCCTTTTCTCCTTTGTTTTCACCTTCTCTTTTCTCAGCTATTTGTAAAGCCTCTCAGGCAACCATTTTGGCTTTTTTCATTTCTTTTTCTTAGGGATGGTCTTGATCCCTGTCTCCTGTATAATGTCACAAACCTCCGTCCATAGTTCATCAGGCACTCTGTCTATCAGATCTAGTCCCTTAAATCTATTTGTCACTTCCACTGTATAGTCATAATGGATTTGATTTAGGTCATACCTGAATGGTCTAGTGGTTTTCCCCACTTTCTTCAATTTATGTCTGAATTTGGTAATAAGGATTTTATGATCTGAGCCACAGTCAGCTCCTGGTCTTGTTTTTTATGACTGTATAGAGCTTCTCCATCTTTGGCTACAAAGAATATAATCAGTCTGATTTTGGTGTTGACCATCTGGTGATGTCCATGTGTAGAGTCTCCTCGTGTTGTTGGAAGAGGGTGTTTGCTATGACCAGAGCGTTCTCTTGGCAGCTTCTCCTTAGGTATCTATTTTATGCAGTGTCGATAGTGCATATGTGTCGATCCCAATTTCCCAGTTCTTCCCACTCATGGACTGTTACTCAGCCATTAGAAGGAATGAAATTAGGTTGTTGTAGAGATGTGGCTGAACCCTAGAGACTGTCGTAAAGAGTGAAGTAAGTCAGGAAGAGAGAAGTATTCTGTATTAATGCATATATGTGGAATCTAGGAAATCTGTACTGATGATCTCATTCACAAGGCAGAAGTAGAGACATGACGTAGAGAACAAACGCCCAGAGTGGCTTAATTCCTGATGAAAGTTTAGTTCTCTCCCAGCTGCCGTGCAGGTGAAGACGGGGGGCCAGAGTGCCCTGGCACTACTGTGTCAGGCAGCCTTTCCGTTTACAAACACCCCATCCCCAAACCAGGGGTCAGAGCACAGCCTTGGTGTTGCCGCTAAGCCTCTCAAGAGACGAGAAACCAGGGCTTCCCTGTGAGCTACTGACCTTCACACCGAGACAGAAGGTCCGTTTGTCAGTTGGAAAACGGCGGATTCCTTAAATAAGAACAGTCATGCACATCAGGTTGTGTGGAAGATTTTGCTCAAAGGTCAGTTCCTTTTCGTTTGTAATCAGAGTTTTGCACGTCAGCCTGTCGGGAGTAGAACGGACTTCTCAGAATCTCCCTCTTCTCAGTGGTGCAGCCAGGTGGAAGATGTATGCCATCAGGGTGGATGGTTTTTCTTTAAAATAGTACAGTTCTTTTTACTTTATCCTAATTTTAAATTATCTGTGGCAAACATTCTTAAAAGAGACATTCACTATTGTTTTATTACGTGGGAGGGAGTATGCTTCTCTGTATTGAAAATGAAATAGTAGATCACGTAACTATATTGAAATATTTTCTCCAAGTTTAATATCTTTAGGAATAGAGTGTCTTAATATAATATGAAATATAAATAATAGAAAGAATTCAGTTGTTCACTATTCAAACAGTGATGGTTAAACAGACCAAAATTTCTAAAGTTTTAAGCAGTTTTGCATCAACTCTGGTTTAAAATAGTCTTCATCTGCTGTTGTAGAAGACGTCTCCTTGACTTCAGTTCTTTGCACAGGCATTACTGTGATGAGGACTGGGTAGGTGCTAACAGTGTTCACTGTTGGATGCTTTTGGGCTTCGAGACTCATCACGCGTTGCTGTGCTGAAATGGTCGGCCCATTTTAGAATGATTGGTTATGCTGCTGCTGGTTTCCCAGGCGGCGCTAGTGGTAAAGAACTTGCCTGCCAGTGCAGGAGATTTAAGAGATGCAGACTTGATCCCTGGGTTGGGAAGATCCCCTGGAGGAGGAAATGGCAACCCACTCCAGTATTCTTGCCTGGAGAATCCCATGGACAGAGGAGCCTGGTGGACTACAGTCCATGGGGTCACAAAGAGTTAGACGTGACTGAAGTAGCTTAACGTGGTCTTGTACAAAGGCTGAGTAACTGATAGAGGTAAAACTCCTTCCTTTAAACCAGTTCCAGAAGGAGCCCTCAGCCTTTTGGAATCCCCACAGCACCCAGTCTTCAGTCAGCTATTCACTGAGCACTTACTGTGTCTCAGGTCGTGTGGGGTGCTGGGCTCTGAGAAATTCTTACCTCTGGTAACATTTCTGTCTCACTGTTTCAAACCAAAACAGGAAACAAGTAGGTTAGGTGTGTTGTTCAGTCACTCAGTCGTGTCTGATTCTTTGTGATCCCATGGACTGTAGCCCACCAGGCTCCTCTGTCCATGGGATTCTCCAGGCAAGAATACTGGAGTGGGTAGCCGTTCCCTTCTCCAGAGGATCTTCCCGACCAAGGGATTGAACCCTGGTCTCCTGCACTGCAGGCGGATTCTTTACCATTGAGCCACCAGCGCAGCCCGTCTTGTCTGGATAAGTCCTGCTTATTATGTGCAAAGCCAAGGGCCACCCCAAGGCCAAGCTTGGGTTTTCTTGTGCCAGAATAAGAATTTTTCCTTCTTTTTTCTTTTATTCTCCCTTAGCAACCTTATCTATTATTATTATTATTTCAAAATTATTTATTTTTAATTGGAGGATAATTTACAGTGTTGTGTTGGTTTCTGACATACATCTGCATGGACCAGCCATGTCCCCTCCATCCTGAGCCTCGCTCCCACCTCCCACCTCATCCCACCTCTCCAGGTTGTCACAGAGCCCCAGGCTGGGCTCCTGTGTCATAGAGCACCTTCCCATTCGCTGTCTGTTTTACTTACGGTAATGCGTATGTTTCAGCACTGCCCTTTCAATGCCTTCCACCCTCTCCTGCCCCCAACCTTATCATTTACGCATCTTTGTCCATTCTGGCATGCAGAAATCTTTATATCTGCCTTTTTTTATGATGGCAGAAAATTGTATTTTAATATATAAAATAATATTTAGTGGCTTAAAATAGGTAATTTGGAGGTCACCATAGCAAATGTCCAGAATTCGTAAGTCTCTTCTTTTTTAAGAGCTGGTAAATAGTGGACTATAGAATGGTGTACTTTTGTATTTTCTGTATATGGGCTATCTGAGTTTGTCTCCCAACTTGCTGACTAGCATGGCTAGACACTTTGACATCATGTGGGTAGTTTTTGCATATCATTTATTTTTATTTAGGTTGGGGGAAAAAAAAGATAAATGATTTAATAAAGGTTCAAAATATTGACCTGAAGATTTGGTTCATCAGAGTTGAGATTCTTAAATCAACAGTATAAGATCTAGTTTTTTAATGTTGATCTTTTCTATTAAAACAACAGTGGAATCCCTTTAAAATTGAGATGCACAGGTAGTAACTTTAAAAAAAATTATAGAAGAAAGTAATTACTGAGATAGTTGGTCAAGTAAATTAGTATCAAATCGTGGTCAAGCTGATTTCTCTGTGTTGGATGTGGAGTCACAGCTACCTTTGAGCATCTCACCCTAAAATACAGAAAATCAGCCAAGTTTTCTGCTATTTGTGTTTATTAAAGTACTTTATCTGTTCATGATACAGTTTTAGAATCTGCAGTGGTTTTCAATTTTATTTCTTTCTACACTTTCCAAAAGTGCAACACAGCACTATCAGCCATCACATGTAGTGATTTTTTTTTAATTAACTTATTTTATTTGGAGGCTAATTACTTTATGATATTGTGGTGGTCTTTGCCATACATTGACATGAATCAGCCACTGGTGTACACGTACTGATTCTTAATGGCAGGGTCATGTCCTTTATAGGGTTGGGTGGTTCTGTTGGCATCTTTGGGTGGAGACGTGTAGTTTGAAAAGGTTCCCCCTCCACTGTGAGGGAGGCAAGTATACATCTCAGCTAGAACCACACAGAATATTACAGCCCTCAGAAGTAATTGTATCCCCACACCCCTAAAAAGCATCTAAAACTCCAGTTGTGAATTTTAAATAAAGCAGCCTTGGAAAAGAGAAAAATTATTTAAAATTAACTTCTACACAGCAGTCTAATCTGACTAGACAGTGTATCTTTCTGTGGAAGCGGTGTGCTTATCACCAGCAATGAGGAGGGCCTGTGCTGTTGGCGTTTCTCAGGGTAGGAAGGGAGCTCTAAGCCTTGGAACACCTGGAGAAGAACACGTGCTGGTTCCCTTCCTTTTTGGGAGGTCATCCCGTCATGCTGGGATTCCAGCTTCTTGGGTGATGTGCCAGTAATGGTCCCCTCTCTCGTTTTTTCAGTCCCCATCGTGAAGCAGACTTGGGCGGGGCAGGCAGGTCGCCTCGAATACTACAGTGATTACGCAGACAGCTCCATTCCGACGGTGGATCTGGGGATTCCTAACACAGATAGAGGTGAGTCCTCAGTCCTGACTGATCCTCTTGCTCAGAGTGTCCATTCTGTAAATACAGTAGTTTAGGATAAAAATGAGGCATTTTATAAATACTGTAATTTTTCCCTCATGTAACTTTCTTTCCTTCCTCCTCACATCTTTATCCATGGATGTGGACTGATTCTTGCAGTTTAAGCACTGCTTTTAGTATTAACAAAGGCTCTTAAGTTCTTGGCTGGTCATACATAAGTGGCTGACACGCATGACGAATATGCACAGGACAGGTACGGCAGAGTGGAACAGCAGGTCTTCTGCACCTTCATGACTCACTGTGGCCACAGTGGGGTGCCTGTGTCTTAGGCACGTCCCACTCTTTGCGACCCCATGGACTGTAGCCGTTCAGGCTCCTCTGTCCCTGGGATTCTCGAGGCAAGATTACTGGAGTGAGTTGCCATTCCCTTCTCCAGGGGATCTTCCCGACTCAGGGATCAAACCTAGGTTTCCTGCATTGCAGACGATTCTTTACCATCTGAGCCAGCAGGGAAGCCCCCTCCCAGAGTTAACTTTTCATATTCCCATGCAAAGTGTCTCTTCATTTAATTTTAGCTATTTATTCAGCCAGTATTATTATCCGACTGTGGTGTGCTGGCCCCTGCTAGACACTGAGGGAAATAGGAATGAAGCTGATGGTTCCCATCCTCCAGAAGCTTATGGTCTGTTACCATCCAGGATGCATTTCGTTTCTACTTCTGAGTAGCACTTAACCACATTCTACATGGGACATATGTAGTATAAGCTCATATAGGTATATATAATATGTAAGTAAATTGTTGAAGTACACTTGTTTTTCTCTTCAGATTGCAGGCTTTCTAATTCAAAACATTTTTTATTTCAAAAAATTGGAAGTATAAATTTGGCCACCTCACCTTCAGATGCTCTTTATTCATCTTAATTTTTATCAATTGTTCCTGCCACATTTTTCTTTAGTTTTCTGGTTCCCCCCAAACCTTTTTATGAAAAAAAGAGTAGTAAGTTGATGATCTTGTTCTATAGAGTAATTTATCTTGATTAGTTTATGATACTGTCACTCATAATGCCTTGACTGATAAAGTACTGAGTAGAATCAGATACGCCATCCTGTAGTATTGATTATTCTGGCAAGATTAGTATATATATGTCACGAAGTCTGTCTGTTGCTGTCTGTTTTGGAAAAATGATTTCAGATCATTTTTGAATTTTCTTTTTGAATTTTGAATGATTTTGAATTTTCTTTTTTTTGTTTATCTTGCTTTTTAGACTCTAAATTGACTCTAATACTCATATGTTGATGCATTCTTGACTTGTTTTATTTTCAGTCTGACCTTATTGTTGCTTATATTTATAGTCTACCTTATCCAAAAGGAATTTGAGATGGCTTTCAAAAATATATACCATAAATAAATGTATTATGGTAACCATAGTAAAATGGTTAAAAATACCAAAGTGATCAAGAATAAGAAAAGTAAAGGTTAAATTGAGTGCTTCGTTCTCTACTGTGTCACTTAATACTTTGTTGAATTGAGGGGTTTATTCTTATTTATCGACTGTCATTCTCTTCCCAAGCATTTATTGCTGTCCTGGCCTCAGCATTTTCCATTAAATGCTTGCTATCTGTTGGCATCTAAGGGACTGTGCCTCTGATAGCATTGTATCTTTAGTGTACATCCTAGAACTGGCCACCATGTCTGCATATTAGAAACGTAATAGCAAATATTTACAAAATAAATAATTGACAGTATAATATTGTATCTTGCACCGTTGTTTCCCTAAAGTTGTGATGCCTGAGGTTCTAATATTTCTTTCAGAATAAGGAGGTCTAAGGAAAGAAGCCAGGCTCCTGTAATTTCTGCAAGACTTAACAAATTTCTTATGTGTCTGGCGTGAACTGTAGTGTTTCCTATACCTGACTTTGTGTAATTCCCCTCACCTCTCTAGGTCTTCAGTCCCTCGTGTATGAATTGAATGACTGACTTCATGATTTTTATCGTTCCCCCTGGTTCACTAAGTCCATGGAAATTAGAAAAGGCTGATTTTCAAATTCTTAAGTGCATACCAGTGTTTAAACTTTGACTCACAATGTTTTAAGGAAAGTAATACATTGTAAGTTTTCTTCTCACCTTTCCTAGGTCATTGTGGAAAGACATTTGCCATTTTGGAAAGATTTCTAAATCACAGCCATGACAGAATACCATGGTTGGTCATTGTGGATGATGACACATTAATAAGGTAAGGGGTCCCCTTGTCCTCAGGTAGCTTTAAATTCTACATGTATTCATAGTCAGAAACTAGGATGGGTCCTTCTGCTGCTGGCCAGCATGTAGAAACAGGGCCTGGATTTTACCCTCACATCTGAAACACCGCCCCCTCCAAAGGACACAGTATCTGAAATGAGTTATTTTTAAAACACGGACGGGAGACAATACAGTATAATATGTATAATAATTCAAACCTAAAATAATTTTAATGTTGAAATCAAACATCAGTCATATCACTAAATGTGAGTGGATTTAACTTAACCTAGTAAAAGAACAAACTTTTCAAAGTGCTTCATAAAACAAACCCCAAATCTATGCTTTATATGAAAGACACATAAACATAGTCATTCAAAAAGTCTAATGATAAAGGGGTGGGTAAGGTTTTCCAAGCCAGTGGGAACAATAAAAATAAAAAATTCAATTCCCAACTCAAGCTAGGAAAAGAATCACAAAGTCAACCCACATAAACAAGGAAGAAAATAATAATAAACATACATGCAGAAATAATGAGGTAGAGGTCAAAAAAGCAGAGGATCAAACGAAAGAGCCAAAATTTTGGTTCCTTGAAAAAAAATCAACAAATTGTATCAAGTGATTTCCAGTAGATACCATTACGTGGAAAAAGCCAAGTGCATAAGAATGTATCTTGTTTGCTTCCCTGTAAGAAAGAAAGGGAAATAAAACATACCCATGTGGACTTAGCTGTTCAAAAAAAGTGGGCAGATAAACTGGAAATCCATGCAGTAGCTCCCACAGAGGGGTGGGTGGGAGCGTGGGGTAGATGGAGTCGGGGTATGTGAGCCCCTTTCCTGTCTCTTTGTTTAGTGTTGACTTTGGGAAGTGTGCTCATATTTTACCTATTGACAAATAACATGAATCTGTAAGGACGGGAAAAATCAATAAGGATGAGGAGAAAGCTGAAACAAACCAACTGTATTTCAGATGAAAACATAATCACACTGAAGGGAAAATATAAAGCAAATACTGCTGAAGATGGGTTTTAGAGACACACCGTCAGGGGTAGAGGAGTGGGGATGCCAAACAACTCCTGAGATTTCAGTCGGTCTGGTTTCTGTTATGAAGCAACTCTGAAGGTACGTTAGGTAGGTTGGAGGACTGAGTAAGTGGCTAAGTGGTAATCGTGTTGGTTGGGAGCCACGGTTCTAGTTCTTCACACCAAAGAAGACCAGATGCAAAGATCCCCAGTAGCACTGAGCAACTAATGAACAGAACTAATACTGCAACTTTCCTACTAAAAGGAACCAGGCCTTCTCAGAGAAATAGCTGATTTTAAGGTTGAGGCAAGGAAGATATAGGAAGACATTTTAACTTTTTTTTCTTATGCCAGAGAGTGAGGAAGTGCTTAGGAAAAAAAGAACAGAAAGAAAAGTGCATGTTAAGAGGACACAGGAGCAAGCTTGAAGAGGTTCCCATCGGTGGAATCTGGGACAGGAGCGTCAGTGTCATTGAGGACGGTAATGACAATTAGGAGGCAGTAAGTTTGTGCTTATAATAAAAAAGTAATGAGGCAGATTCGGCTCCATAACAAAATACCAAATAGAAACAAAATAATTCACGTTAAACAGAAATTTATTTCTCATTTTGGAGGATGGGAAATCCAAGATCAAGGTGCTGGCGAGGCAGGTTTATAAGACTCTTCTCTTGGTTTGAGGGTGGCCGCTGGCCTGCCGTGTGCTCGCGGGACTTCTTCTTTGTCTGCCATGGAAAGTGTTCTCTGGTGTCTCCTCTCATATGGACACGAGTTCTGCCATATCCAAGTCCTGCCCTGGTGACTTCACTGAACCTCCTTCTAGGCCCTTATAGCTTATGGGGAACCGTGTCAGATTCGTGATCTCCGAAGAAGAAGATTTAACTTCGGGAACAGGGACCAGGCTTGATCACTCAAGAGCTTTTGTGCAGCTGAGTTTTACTAAAGTATAAAAGGGGACAGAGAAAGCTTCTGACATAGACATTGGAAAGGGGATGGAGAGCGCCCCCCTTGATAGTCTAAGCAAGGGAGTTACATGCTTTTTAAATTAGTTATTACAATAAATCGAAAGAATGTCTCAAGGTTGTAAACATCTTACTAGACCCACTCCCATAATTTACATTTTAAGATAACAGTAGTTTTACGAAGCCAGAAGGTTTTCAGAAAGGAGAATCTGTCCTCAAGCTGGATGCATTGTTGTTTTATAATCCTTAGTACAGAGTTTAAACTGAGTTGTTTGTTGTGTAATCATCAGTTCTGGGCTTAAAGGAAATGTTTTATGTGACTGAGACTAAGGAATGTAGAGGAAAGAAAAAAGATGTTCGTCCTTTCCTCCTCCTTGAGAATTCCAGACTCCTGTCTCCACTTCGAGAGCCCCAGACCCCTTTCTCCTCCTTGGGGACCCCAGACTTCTTATCAACCTGCCTAGGAATTGACTCTCTCAGCCCCACCTCCAAATATAGTCGCGAGAGGGGTTAAGGCTTCAGCATATGAACATTGTGCGTGGGACACAGTTCAGCCCACAGCGGGCAGGTTCTGGCTAGCAGGGAGCGAGGAGTTCTGCCTGGTTGATGGAGTTGGAAAAGTCATCTCTCTGACACCATCAGAGTAAAGACCGATTCAGGCAAGAATCACTGACAGATAACTAGTGATAAGTTTTGATGAGGACCAGGATACTTGCTAGTGTTAAAGTGTCTGCCGGAGACTCTGAGAATCAGCAAAGGGAAAACAGCAAGTGTCCAGGGGAGACCTGGGGCAGCACCGTGTGATCAAAACAGACACTCCCAGTAGGGGACAGGCGGACACCGCAGGCCAGACAGCATGCCTTCTTTATCCCTGCACCTCAGAATGCGTAACCTTGCCTCTGTACGAGGAAACATCAGCCAAACCCAAGACGAGGACCAGTCTATTAAAAGGGGGGTGGGCATTTGTTTTTAAAAAATACCAGTGTCATGAAAGATTAAAAAAACTGAGGAACCATTAAAGGAGAGGAAACTGAGAATAAAGTGAATGATAAATAAGTGCATTTTTCTGAGCAGCCCTGTGGAAGCTGTCACTATTGACACACGGCAAGGAGGCCTAGGGGCCGGAGGTGTAAACAGACAGACACAGAAAGCCACGGATTAGGGAAGCCTCCCTGGAGGAGGGCCTAAGTACAGTGCAGTGGTGTGTCACAACCTGAAGGCCCCCTGGAAAGCTTTGCTGCCCAAATTCCCTTCCCACCTTGCCTTCACCTGCCTGCCAAGGACTCATCTGTACTTTACAGGTTCCTTTTTTAGCCACCAAGTATTTAAGAAATACCAAGTAGGTCTGAGAGGTACACTGATGAGTTCACTCAGTGGGGAGCAGGCCACCCCTCCTTCCTCGTCCGGCCACCCTGCCCATCCACACAAGGCGGCCACTGCCGGTCGGGGCTTGTGAAAGCTGGGGAGGAGGCCCTTGTTCCTCAGTTTCTCTCCTGTTTCCAGTGATGTACAGTGCACATCAACTTAAAAAAAAAAAAAAATTTCTTCTGTAAGTCTCCTGAATTTCATCTCTGTGACTGACAGAGTACTGCAGAGTATAACCAGTGGGGTGTAAGAACCATAAAATATGTATTCTGCAGACACATTTGAATTAAGGAACTGTTGCTTCTGTTCCCTTGGGAATCTTAGCATCTCCAGGCTCCGGCACCTGCTGAGCTGCTACGACGCCCGTGAACCCGTGTTTCTGGGAGAGCGTTACGGCTACGGGCTGGGCACCGGCGGCTACAGCTACATCACAGGAGGAGGAGGGTAACTATGAGCTTGGCTTCTGCAAATTGCACTTCTGTTTCCAGGAGGCAGGGGTGGGTCTGTGACCATGGGCTCTAGGCTGATCCCTAAGTGCTCTGTAAATGGGGGGAGCTGTTAGTATGACAGGATCGTGAACATTAAAAAGGACCCACAGTAGAGAACATTTTATTCCTTGAAGAGAATAAATATATGTCTCTATATATAGATTATATATATATATATATGAATGTCAGGGAACTTGGTAGAAATGTGCCTGTAGTGGTGATTGCTTCTAGGCAGCCAGTTTTTATCATCTGTTTGAATGAAAAAAATTTTGGATATAGATTTTCATTTCAGAAAATAATTCATTAGACTTCTTAATTATCCAGCGCTTATTGATTGTATTTGGGGGAAAGAGTAGTTACAGAAGTTTAGATTTAAGCAATTATGTGATATTTGTGTGGGATTTATGGGTTTTAAATATAGTTAAGAATCAATGCTTTTAAGTAAGCTTCTGCCTAATCTTACGGGGAGAGATTTTGATTTGATTTGTGTAGGTGAATCAATCAGGCAGTTAGTCTGTTCTGTTGTTTCTATAGTATTTGCCGCTGGGTGTTCAGGGAGAATCTTGTTATCCACTGTAGTGATTTACATGTATTCAGCAGGTTTTGTTGTGTATCCACTATGTGGTGAGCAACAGTCACTGGACTGTAGACTTCTGAACCTTCGGACTTTGTGTTCTTACTTTACAATCCCCTCCGTTAGAACCGGGCTTTCGACCACAGGGTGGTCTTCCAGGGGTTCCTGTTTTGGTCTGGCCTGGTTAGTGGTGACTGCACCATGGTTGTGGAGGTGGCCTTTCCTAGTGATAACCAGGCCTTTTTGTTGATCTACCTGAGGCCATTAGCAGTAGGAAGTAGGGGTCCACAGGGGCCTTGGAGAAGACACTAAAGCATCAAGCCGAGCGGTGTTGAGCTCGTCGTCATTTAAGAAGGTTCCAGCTCTTTGCAGCCTTGTGGTAATGCGTTAGTATCCTGGGTGAGGGGCTGGTGTCCATTAAGCCAGAGTTTCCCCTTTTGTAAAGGGTAGTGAAAGACAGAGAAGCCTGGCATGCTACAGTCATGGGGTTGCAAGGAGTAGGACACGACTGAGTGACTGAACAACTGTGCTTTGTACTTGGGTTGATACATTTTGCAGCAGGAATGTGTTAATACTTGGACCCCAGAAGGGGCAGCCATAGCCTCCTGGTCCCCCTGCCCTCGTCCTCCTCCCCGCTGTGCTGTTGTCAGAGACTCTGGTCCTCTCACTCCCTGCTCAGAGGCTGCACTGCCTTCCCGTTGCTGTTAGTCTGAACTCTCTCCTACTGCAGGCATTTGACTAGAAGATGATCACTCAGATTTCAACCAGACTCATACTGACTTGGATCGGGCCTCACTTTTAACCACCTCTCATTGGCCTAACCCGCAGCCCTCCCAGGTGCTCGAGACCTGGCCTTGGGCAATGTCTCTAGCCTGTCTTTCCTCCTGCCTTCCCACCCCCAGACCTTCTCACTAGGGCAAGGCTCTTCCCGGCTCATCTAGGCTTCCACTCACTCATCTCTTCAGCAGGTCTTTAGGTTAGTGTGATTTGTATCTTATGTGGATTTTTCTTTGCGGGACCAGCGGAGTGGAAGTCTTTCGTGCCTTTGTACAGCCCCTCATTTCCATTGGGATAAAGTCCAGTTTCCTCACTGGAGCTCACCAGGTCTGCCTCTGTCTTGGCAGATGCTGTTTTATCATCTTAGCCTTGTTTATCTGCACCCTCATCCTGAGAGAATTCATGCTGAACCTCTTTCAGTTCCTCAGAGGCACTGTCTTTTAACCCTTCCCTCACATACGGTGTCTGCTGATCTCTTCATAGCACAGATCCCCACTCCCTCCCACCCCCACCCCTGCCCCTGGCCACCTTCCGCCTCTGTCACCTGGCTAATCCTTCTGATTCCTGTGGACAATATATCACTCTCAGGCCTTAAGCTAGTCTGGCTCCTGAATCTGGGTTTGATACCTTCTTCATATACACGAAGCACATTATGCTGACCATTATCATTTAATTCCCTATTTACTTTCCTGTTTTCTACCCAAATTATGAATTATTTGAAGGTGGCACCTGCATCTCATTTCTCATTCCATCCTCACTTCCTATCATGGAGACGCAGTTTTACAGGGTCCAGGGGACAAGTGAATAAGCAGATGCATGAACACTGGTACTGATCTTTATATGACTAACATGGACCAGTGTAATGTTCTGTTCATAGTAGCACTTGACAAAGATGCAGAAACATTCTTCATGAGATTATCTCATTTCTGCCTTTGATAAAAGCTGCAGGCATAATAGTTTCTCTGATGTTACAAGGGACTTTTCTGATGATCTAGCTTAAGAACCAACATGCTTTTTTCCTAAACAGCAAGTCAGGATCAATCAATGGCTTTTAAGAATCAGTTAATGGATTACAAACAACATTTAAAAATAATGAACTATAGAACCGAACAGAATAAAATAGATATATTATATAGCATATGTTATGTGTATTTTTCAGTTTTACACACATATACAAAACAAATGGTTACATATGGACTGTGTTTCTTGTTTTCTCACTGTGGTTTAGAGTCAAGTAAGTTTTTGAAAATCATTGCTTTAAATCACACTCTTTAGCTCCAGTTATCAGGGATAACCCAGGCGTGTGGACTCCACACTCCGGATATATGTGTGGAAAATGAGACCTTTGCACTATTAGAATCCAGTTGTCTGTTTTCCACTTCGTTGCTTACTTCTTGAAAGTTTGGGTAATTAGTTCAATAACTGTTTTCTTAAAAAATGCTTACTTACATATGTTTGGGTATGAAGCTGTGGTCAGGATGTCATTGGTGTTTTGGCTCCTCCTTGGAGGAGGCCTTGGCACTGTTGCCTAGAGAGGCCACCATGACCTGTTCATCTGCTCGGAGCGCAGGACAGGTCTGGCCTGTTTCTGACACACTTGGTCTTCTGCAGGTGTCTTGATTTGCAGGTATGCCCTTGGGCAAGTCCCTGCCTCCTATTTTAGTTTTACTTATTTTTAAAATTACTATATTGTATATTAAAGGAAGTCATATTATTAGTCTTATAGCCTTTCAACATTTTTTTATAATTAACATTTTTTACTTTTAGTTTTTTAACTGATGATTTACACAGTGTAGTGCTAATTTCTTCTGTACAACAAAGTGACTCAGTTATACACATATAGACATTCTTTTTAAGTATTCTTTTCCATTATGGTTTATCCCAGGAGATTGGATATAGTTCCTGTGCTATTCAGTAGGACCTTGTAGTTTATCCATTCTAAATGCAATAGCTGGCATCTACAAGGAGAAAGAAATGGCAACCCACTCCAGTATTCTTGTCTGGAGAATTCCACAGACAGAGGAGCCTGGTGGGCTGCAGTTCATGGGGTCGCAAAGAGTCGGACACGACTGAGTGACTAACACCTGCATCTATAACTAAACTCCCACTCCATCCCTCTTTCTCCCCCTTGGCAACCCCAAGTCTCTTTTCTATGAGTCTGTTTCTGTTTTGTGGATAGATTCATTTGTGCCATATTGTAGATTTCACATAAAAGTGCTGTTGCATGGTATTTGTCTTTCTTTCTGACAGCTTCACTCAATATGATAATCTCTAGTGACATCCCTGTTGCTGCAAGTGGCATTGTTTTGTTTTTAATGACTGAGTAGTATTCCATTGTGTGTGTGTATGTGTGTATCACATCGTTTTTATCCATTCATCTGTTAAGACATTTTAGTTTCCATGTCTTGGCTGTTGTGAATAGTGCTGTGAATACAGGGGTGCATGTCTCTTTTGAATTATAGTTTTGTCTGAGTGGGGTTGTTGGATCATATTGTAATTCTGGTTTTAGTTTTCTGAAGAACCTTTATACTATTTTCCATACTGACTGCATCAACTTACATTCCTACCTACAGTGTTGGAGGGTTCCCTTTTCTCCACACCCTCTCCAACATTTGTTATTTATAGACTTTTTAATGATGGCCATTCTGACCAGTGTGAGGTAGTGCCTCATTGTAGTTTTAGATTCATATTTCTCTAATAATTAGTGATGTTGAACATCTTTTCCTATGCCTACTGGCTATCTGTTTGTCTTCTTTGGAGAAATGTCTATTGAGGTCTTCTGCCCAGTGTTTGATTGGGTTGTTTTTCTGTTGAGCTGTATGAGCTATTTGTGTATTTTGGAGATTAAGCCCTTGTCACATCATTTGCAAATATTTTCACCTGTTCCATAGGTTGTCTTTCTTTTATGACTTCCTTTGCTATACAAAAGCTTGTAAGTTTGGTTAGGTCCCATTTTTTTATTTTATTTCTATCGTCTTGGGAGGCTGACCTAAGAAAAATCATTGTACCAATTATGTTGGAGAAGGTTTTACCTATGCTCTTTTCTAATTTTATGGTATCATGTCTTATGTTTAAGTCTTTAAGCCATTTTGAGTCACTGATGAATGGTCAGTTTTTAAGAGAGGCAGTTCATGGTGAGTTTTCAAACTTGCAGTTCCCTTTTGTATAGTTCATAACACCATTTTTCTTGTTGTTCAGCCGTATTTCCTTGTATCACCTTAAATAAAGAGCTTCTTTTTCCTCTTGTCATATTCCATCCAGTCTTCTGACATCTCAGCAAAGGCAGGGAGTGTCTTCCATGTTGCTTCACTGGCTATGGTCACTGGTACTAGTTACACAGTTCTGACCTGAGCCCAGCTGAGTGGGAACGGATGTGTTTTGCATCAGGGCTCAAGGCAGTGCATCAGTGCTCAAGAGTTCCATCCTCTCTCTCCCCCTCAGGAAGACCTTTGCAAAAGCGGCTTTGTTCTCACTTGTTGGATCATCAGACCTTTATTGAGGACTTACCATGAGACCCTCTATTTGACGATGGGAATATATGGATACATAGACAGTTTTGCCGTCAGTCAAGTCTTTGCTTATTGGGAGTGAATTTCTGAATCATCTTAGTCCTGTCAGCTCTTGGGTTATTCATGATACGAAAACATCTGGTACTACTCTAGGACCAGAAGGGAAACTAGAAACAGATCTGTATTTAAAAAGAAGAGAATTTATTGCAGGAACTTGGGACAAGGGTATTGGAAAGGGCCAGAGGACTAAGAGGGAGCTGGTGGCTTTACCCAGAGCTCAGTAACTACAGGAAGTGCTGCTGTTCCCGAGGCTGGAGGAGTGGAAGGTGCTGGATTCGGGAGCCCGCTGGTACAGGTTACTGCGGCCACTGCTGCCGTCAGGTTAACAACGCAGCACCCGGGCAGACCCAGGACCGGCTCCCACTGCTGCTTGGGGACCGTCCCTAAAGCTCTGCCAGCCTTGCCAGCACTCCTGGAGCCCGTGGCTCCCCAACGCCTGCCTCTGTATAGAGACCACCGAGCCAGGAGCAGACGGCCTCCTCCAGGGATGAGCCCCTTGTTGTCAGGGTGAAGCCGGGACGTAGCTGGCCAGGGAGTCTGGAGGGTACTGCAAAGTTTCTAGCTTCCTGCAGCGCTGGGGAGAACACAGAAAGGCTGGAACAGTGTGAGTTCCATTAGGATGTACCTGGCGTATCAGGTCAAGCAGCATTTTAGCACCAGTGGAGGCAAATCAGTCTCTTTCTCCCACCACCCTTCTCAAAATCACCTTAAGGAGGCTTCTGTGAGCAGGAATCATGTGGACCATGTGTGTTTTTCAGTTAGATTTGATCTCATTGTCAGTTATCACCTGTATGACTTAGGTACCTTGTGTATCTGGGTCCATCGGGGAGTGTTGGCAGATTTTATTACTGATCTCATTAAGCATGTGTGAACTTATGAACTCTTCTAATTTTCCAGTGACATAATAGAAGAAGAATACTGCCTATTTATTTGTGTATAAGATATATATGAAGAAATACAATTACTTATTACATATCTTAAAAGTGATTTTTATGAAACACTACTGATGTTATCATCTTTATGAGAAACATGGCTCTCACCTCTGTTTCCTCATTTAGATTACCAGTCGCAAGGACCTAACTGCCTTCTCTGTCTGCTCTGGTTTCCCCCAGAATGGTCTTCAGCAGAGAGGCCATCAGGAGACTTCTCGCCAGCAAATGTCGCTGCTATAGCAACGATGCTCCAGATGACATGGTCCTGGGGATGTGCTTCAGTGGGTTAGGAATCCCCGTGACACACAGCCCTCTCTTCCATCAGGTGAGAAAAAGGGTTTTATTCCTACTTCAGAGCGGGAGATGGGGATTTTCTTCTCACTTGAAGATCCTACTTTTTTCTCTTCATGTATTCTTCTGGAAACAGTCTTAAGAACTGTGTAGACAGGCTCCGGGGGGGACATCTTAACTAGACCTGTACAGCATGAAAACAGAATGCAGAAACATATGCAAAATGAAATGGTATTTGACCTGCATCCTTGCATGTGGGACTAGGTAAAAGCTGTTCCTTCCCCCCACCCCCTTTGTATAAAATAAAATAAAAATTGATGGCATTTAGAAACTATCAGATGCTATTTAGAAATATCAGGACTGACCCAATATTGTCCTGCTTACCACCCAGTATTTGCAGTTCTCCACTGGCCTCAGTCTTTATAGCATTGGCTGCCTTTTTATTGGGCTTTCTCCCCTTTGGTTGCTCTTAAACTAATTACATTTTAGTATATTATCTCAATAAGCATATATTCTGGGGGGTATAGAAGAGATGAGGTTATAGAAGAGATGAGGTTCACAAGGGGTGGTTGGTGCTAATAAGGTCACCATCCTGCAATGTGGGGTAAGAAGGAAATCCTATTACATTATTTTTACATTTTATGTAAAATTTTACAAAATAACCATACTTCATACCCATTGTTGAGACATTCAGAGCTTTTTGAAATTGGAAATATTTAAATGCACATGTATTTTAAGTGTCCTCCCTTACATTGAAAATATAGTCTTCATGCTTTAATCAATAACCAGTAGCCATATAGAGACTTGGGCATGACAGAAATAACACTGCAGGAAAACTTGAACGAGGCACAGAGAGTACTTAAGTTACCAAGAAAGGCAGAATCCATTTTATGCATTCTTGAGGACTGCAAGGAAGGATAAAAAAAAAGAACTTTACAATAAGAAATGTCTGAGAAGCCACCTCCTTGGTATAAGTCAGAAGGTACTTTGCCATTTTTAAAAACTTGAGCCTATATGTGCTGTTCTGAGGACTTAGAAAAGCAGGTTATCCTCTCTGACCCCTCTCTCTTGTTCTATCTTATAATGTTTCACTCACAGAAAGGAAGGACAATGAAAACTGTTGGTGTGTAAGGGAAATAATTTATCACTGGTAATATCACAGTCTTGGGGTTTCCCAGGTGGCTCAGTGGTAAAGAACCCGATGCAAGAGTTGCAGGTTCAATCCCTGGGTAGGGAAGATCCCCTGGAGGAGGCATGGGAACCCCCCAATCCAGTATTCTTACCTGGAGAAATCCCATGGCCAGAGGAGACTGCTGGACTATAGTCCAAGGGGCCGCAAAGAGTTGGACACGACTGAGCACTCAGAGCACACATCATAGTCTTAGTTTTTTATAGCAGCTTCTTTAGGGAAGAATTCATTAGTAAATGAAGCGGGTCCTTTGAAAGTAATTTAAAATGTGTTGTTTCCCATACTTTAAAACTCTTGATTTTGCTAATTCACATAATAAATTTTAAACATTTCCAAAGTCATAAAGTGTGCTCAAAACCCATACTCCCCAACAGACACTGCTTTATCTTCCAATTCTTAAGCCTATTTTAAGAGCGTTTGCTCTGATTTGGACGTTATTTTCCATTTGTAATGTTTGAACACTAGAAAGAGTTGGACATGACTGAGCGACTAATACTTTCACACCAGAGAGTGTATCTGTTCATATTGAGAAAGAGAAAAAATCTAGGATTCTTGGTGAGTTAGAGTGGGTGTGTGGAAACAAGCTTCGATTCAAAGTTGCCTGGGCCCCATTCCTTCTGAGTCAGGGAAGGTTATTGTGAAATCACAGGTTCAGAACAGACATCAAGGAATGTCTAGTATAGCTCTCTGTTAAAAACAAAGTGTCTAGAGCATGTGGTTTTTCTGTGCTTCCAAAATTATATGCCACTAATGAGTAAGGCATATAAAGATGATGCTGAAAGACAATGCTGTGAAAGTGCTGCACTTAATATGCCAGCAAATTTGGAAAACTCAGCAGTGGCCACAGGACTGGAAAAGGTCCATTTTCATTCAAAGTTGCCTGGGCCCCATTCCTTCTGAGTCAGGGAAGGTTATTGTGAAATCACAGGTTCAGAACAGACATCAAGGAATGTCTAGTATAGCTCTCTGTTAAAAACAAAGTGTCTAGAGCATGTGGTTTTTCTGTGCTTCCAAAATTATATGCCACTAATGAGTAAGGCATATAAAGATGATGCTGAAAGACAATGCTGTGAAAGTGCTGCACTTAATATGCCAGCAAATTTGGAAAACTCAGCAGTGGCCACAGGACTGGAAAAGGTCCATTTTCATTCCAATCCCTAAGAAAGGCAATGCCAAAGAATGCTCAAACTACCACACAATTGCACTCNACTGCAAGGAGATCCAACCAGTCCATCCTAAAGGAGATCAGTCCTGGGTTCATTGGACGGACTGATGCTGAAGCTGAAACTCCAACACTTTGACCACGTCATGCGAAGAGTTGACTCATTGGAAAAGACCCTAATGCTGGGAGGAAATGGGGGCAGGAGGAGAAGGGGACAACAGAGGATGAGATGGCTGGATGGCATCACCAACTCAATGGACATGAGTCTGAGTAAACTCTGGGAGTTGGTGATGGACAGGGAGGTCTGGCATGCTGGAATTCATGGGGTTACAAAGAGTCAGACATGACTGAGCGACTGAACTGAACTGAACTGAATGGGTATGGCATAGCCAGTGAATCTTGTGCAGAAAATTGTCAAAATAACCATTTCAGGACTCTGGAAGTCAACCAGAAAGCACTGAAAAGTGTGAAATCCTGAAAAACTACTATAGTTTGTGGTAAGAGCAACAGAGTCTGAGGCCTTTCTGGCTGAAACCCCCAGTCCTTCCTGATTTCCATCCCAGCTTGGTTGGAGAGAGCAGTAGTTTGACCAGTATATAAAAACAAAGTTGCGGTCAGAGGGGGTGAACTTGATTGGGAGAGAGATGAAAACCCACAGGTATGCCAGCTAGAATTGTCAAACTTGGGTAGGAAACAAACAAGAAAAACCCCATCTACACTGGCCTGAGAGTGTAGTTTCAATTATGGTGAAGAAATTATTTGTCAGAAGTTTAATATCTAATCCCCTGGAAATAAGAGCATAGTAGGGCTAGCTGGCTTCCCTGGTGGCTCATTGGTAAAGAATCCTCCTGCAATGCAGGAGATGTGGGTTCCATCCCTAGGGTGGGAAGATCCACTTGAGGAGAAAATAGCAACCTACTCCAATTTTCCTGTCTGGGGAAATCCCATGGACAGGGGGGTCTGGCAGGCTGTATAGTCCTTGGGATCACAAAGAGTCGGACACGACTGAGTGACTAAACAAGGCAGGGCTAGATACGCCAGCTACAATGCTCTGGCCCCCTGGGAAGCTCTGTGCCTGCACATGGGATGGATGAACGTGGGAGAAAGTAAAAGCCAAGGCATGTCTGAAAATCCACTGAAGTTTTGAACGTCCTTTGCAATCCAACATAGACTGAAGCTTTATGGACTTGAGATGTCTGAGTCCAATCTCTGCCTATATTATAATCTAATATAGTTGATTAGATTAAGTTGCTCAGGCATAGCAGTGACTTCTAGAAAATCATGCTAATAAATGAGAATTAAAGCTTGAGGAATAAAGCAGCCATGCAGCTCCAAGGAGAAGGAGTCTATGTTGTAAGTTCAAGTAAGTAAGTCTTTTATAAAGAGCAGTAAAAGTGAACAAATTTGTGAGTTGCTATAACACATTATTTAAAATAGCCAGTTTCCAACCAATTATGGTGAAAGTTACAAAGAAACATATTCAGGGAGAAATGTAGTCAACAGAAATGGACTCTGAATGGGACCAGATATTATATTTGATAGACAAAGGCTTCAAAGCACCTAATTATTAAAAAATAAATAAATAAAAGAATTAAAGGAAAATATTACAGTAACCCAACGAATACAAATCTTAATAGAAAGATAGAAACTTTGATAAAGAACCAGATGAAAACTCTATAGTTGTAAAGCCCAACAAATGAAATAAGAAATTATCTAAATGAACGTAACAGTAGATTGGAGATGCAAAAGAAACAATCAGTAAGTTTGAAGGCAGATGAATAGAAATTACCTAATCCAAAGAACAGAAACGAGACTAAAGAAAAATGAACATGTCCTCAAAGTGGTAAAACATAAAGTATACCAACATATATTTAATGGAAGTTCTTTTTAATTTTTTTTTTTTTTTTTTTAAGAAACAGCATTTTCTCAAATGTTGTAATGAGAAACCATCTGTTGATCTGAGGAACTCAACAAGGCCCTTACTTTTTTTTTTTTTTTTTTTAAGAAACAGCATTTTCTCAAATGTTGTAATGAGAAACCATCTGTTGATCTGAGGAACTCAACAAGGCCCTTACAGGATAATAAGAAAAGATTACACATGAACCTGTTATAGTTCAGTCATTGAAAAACAATGACAAAGTGAAAACCTTAATAAAAAACCTAACAAAAATCGAAATTAAAATGTTATTGGCTAATGTTTCATTAGAAATAATAGAGACCTGAAGGCAGAAAGAAAAGGAAGAAATTTAACCAGCAATTCTGTATCAGTAAAACTATCCTTCCAAAATGAAAGTGGGATAAAGACATTACCAGATAAACAAAAAGTGAGAAGAACATTTTCCCTTCCCTTAAAAGAAGCTAAAGAAAATCCTTTGGGCTGAGAGAAAATGACACCAGGTGGTACCTGGAATATATAAGCAAATGATTAAGTACACTGGAAATACTGTATGTATATACACACCTGTGTGTATATATACACGTGTATATAAAATTAAGAAAAATGTGAGCATAAATACCTGTATGTGTATATACACATATCTTTCCACAAGCACTGGAACAAAGGGAATCACTGCAGTATACCTGAAACTAACACGACGATGTAAATTAACTGTATTTCAGTTTAAAAAATGGTATAAAAGACTAAAAAAAGTATACCATGCAGCCAGCTGATCACAAGAGAGCTTGAGTGGCTACAGTAATATTAAAAATAATACATTTTAAGAACAGAAATATTACTAGACAGAAAGTGGGACATTTCATGACAAAAGGTCAATATATCAAGAGAAAAAACAATTATAACACATGTATACCGCTAACAGATCTTCACATTACACGAAACAAATGGAAATGAAAGGAGAAATACATGAGTGTTAGCTACTTGACTTGTCACATAAAGAATATTTCATCTGACAACAGAATAAACATTCTTTTTCAAATATATATGGAATATTCTCTAGGATAGACCGTAAGCTAAGACATATTGTTTTGCCCAATATATTTAAAAGGATTGAAAACATACACAGTATACCCTCAAGAACAATGGAATGAAATTAGAATCAACAGAAAATGGGGAAATTCCCCCAATATTTGTAAATTAAACAACATGCTTTAAAATAACCCTTGGGTTGAAAAAGAAATCATAAGGAAAATTAGAAAATACTTTGAATGGAATTGAGATGAGAACATATCCTATCCTTTGATTTGAGTTGTGGTGTGGTGTGTTGGGTATTTATTTTTTTGTTTTTGCTGTGCTGTGCTGGGCTTCCCCGGTGGCTCAGATAGTACAGAACCCACCTGCAATGCAGGAGACCTGGGTTTGATCCCTCGGTCGAGAAGAGTCTCTGGAGAAGGACACGGCAACCCACTCCAGTATTCTTGCCTGGAGATCCTGTGACAGAGGAGGCTGGTGGGCTACAGTCCACAGGATCACAAAGAGTCAGACATGACTGAATGACTGACACTTTCACTTTCACAAGAGGTAGTGTTAGCAGGAAATTCATAGTTTCAAACATGTTGTGCTGTTTGTGCTTAGTTCAGTCATGTCCGGCTCTCTGCAATGTTAGAAAGGAACAAAGATATTAAATTAATAGTCTAAGTTTCTACATTGAGAGCAGAATAATATAAAATCAAATATGAACTGTGTGGAATAAAAGAAATATTAAGGATCAGAGCACAAATAATGAAATAGGAAACAAAATCAGTTAAACCAAAAATTAGTTCTAATCTGATAAACCTTTAACTAGCTTGACCAACAGAAAACCAGTTCTTTTGTTTTTGCTGTTATTTGTTGGTTAGTTGCTAAGTTGTACCCAACTCTTTTGTGACCCTGAGGACTGCAGTCTGCCAGGCTTCCTTGTCCACGGGCTTTCCCAGGCAAAAATACAGGAGTGGGTAGCCATTCCCTTCTCCAAGGGATCTTCCCCACCCAGGGATCCATTCCAAGTCTCCTGCACTGCATAAGAGAGGATGTAAGTTGCCAAACTCAGAAGTGAAAAAGGGGCATCATTATATACCCTACCAAAATTATGCCAACAAATTAGACAGTTTAAATGAAGTGGAGAAATTTCTAGAATCACACTTTTTAAGCAAGTCTATTTCTTAAGAAATAAAAAATGTATTTAAACCTTTATACCTTGATGAAATTGGATTAGAGAAGCAGCAAGAATGTTTCCCAACTCAGTTTATGATGTCACAGATGTACGCTGTATCCCCAGGAGCAAGCACTAAAAAAAAATCACTTAAAAAAACAGCTAAAAAATTAACAAAGGAATTAAAATGGGATATCACAAAAGTAAACTACAGGCCAGTGTTTCTCTTGAACACAGATGTAAAAATCCATAATAAAATGTTAACCAGCCGAATCTACCAATGTGTCAAAATTGTTGCTTGTTTTTCACACTTAAAAATGAACTGTTGGGAGATATAATTACATCTAACAGGAAAAAATAAATCCATAATACCTTTGCCTCTATTGATGCAGATTCCAGAAGTGATTGATTGCATCTCAGGAGTCATCCGTGCAAGTGAAGTGCGGGCTTATTGAGCATTAGAGTGTGCCAAATCATTTCTGATAAATGAGGTCACAGAAAAGAACAAGACAAAACTGCCAAAGTAGAGTGCACCCAGAGCAGCATCAGTGATGCTCAGAAGCCTGTACTGCCTCCGATAATCAGCCTCTGGGCCCAAATACCAAAGAGAAACGACACAGGGCACCGTACACGGAGAGAGAGATGGCTTAAAACTGCAGAAGGACATAAGTTGGGCAGATGTAAACCTTACCTGTCGAGATGACAGCTCACTGAACAGTGCAACAAATGGAGGTTAAAACTGTTTTAGACGCTCTACAGCTGCACTGAGCTATGGTTTACGTCCCGTACACAATTCCCACACAGTGATGGTGTGAATGGCAGCTTGAAACATCCTAGCAGATTTCCAGAGTTAGGCCACCACTAACCTGGTTTTATGGCCCGATAGTCAAGCCCCCCACACTTCCCTTGAATGGATTTGCAGCCATTCCCCACTCCCTTTGCAGGCCCAGGACACCACAGGTTTGCTTTCTGTCTCTACTGCCCTTCCTGTTCAGTCACTAAATCGTGTCTCTTTGCGACCCTATGGACTGTAGCACAGTGGGCTTCCTTGTCCTTCACTCGCTCCTGGAGTTTGCTCAAACTCACGTCCATTGAGTCAGTGATGCCATCCAACCATCAACCACGTGTCTCTCTAGTGTTTCCTTTTCTAGACCTGTCCTTGTCCCTGATGAGATCTGTTTCCCTTCTCTGAAAGACATATGCTTGATTCCACATCAGAACAGCAGACGGGCAACGGGAACCCCCAGATAGCCTTGCCCCACCTCGCCATACAGACACCATGTATGGCCAGAGTTTCTTTAGATCTGGGAAGTAAGTTTTTCTGCCTCTCTGCAGAAGTTTTAATAGTAACTTAAATGACTTACCAAGGAAACCTTTTCATAGTACCACAGTTGGTCTCTCGGGGGCATGGCTGTGGAACCTAGGAGCAGAAAGCAGATGCGTTTGGAGCACTGTGCTGTGAGGGTAAGGAAGTAACTGGAGATGCAGAAGCAAAGAGCCTAGAGGCAGATTTTCCTGGAAAGGATTCTCCTCCTTGCCGTTAGACTCCCATAACCGACACCAGCTCTGGAAGGAAAGCAGTCGATCCACACATTTAAATGTCATTCTGAAGCAGGGCTGTTTCCGGTGAGTGAGAGGGTGTGATTCTCTGTTCTGTCTGCAGGCGCGGCCGGTGGATTACCCTAAGGACTACCTGTCTCACCAGGTTCCCGTGTCTTTCCACAAGCACTGGAACATCGATCCCGTGAAGGTCTACTTCACGTGGCTGGCGCCCGCTGAGGAAAACCAAGCCGGGCATAAGAGCCGAAGAGGCCTCAAAGAGGAGCTGTGAGCACGGGGCCTGCAGGCACGGGTCGGAGGCCGAGACTCGCACTGTCCTGCATCTCGCAGCTCATCTGTGCGTGACACATGGCGTCGGAAGCGTCCTGACTGCAGGTGGACGTGTGATGTGTTCATTTTTGAGTTGGGGGTGGGGAAGAAGTCATAGGGAAAACAGATTTTTTTTCTTTTCTGGGGAAAAGAAATCACTTGCATTTGCATTATGCAGTTCTTGTAATAGACAATGATTACTGTGTATTTTTCAAGCTGTGAAACAGCAGCTTTATTTCTGTCACAGAAAAATAAATGGTACCAGAAGTCTCCTTCCTGTCCTCACTCTTCATTATAACAGATGTATCAGCTGGGCATGAGGCTGGAGAGACGTGACTGTCTTCACCATTATACATAAAATAAAGAAGAGAAGGTGTCTTGACCTGGATCTTACCATGGGGCCAACTTTTAAACCATACTATTGATGATCAAAATGATCTCCTGGTAACTCAGTAGGAAGACTGCTGTATTAAGGATCATTCGTAAAACATCATAAAAGTCTAGCAATGAAGAAATCCCCTGGAGTCTGTAATCAGAGTTGTTATGTTTTATCTGTTTTTCTGTTTATGCCTCATAAAAAGAGAATAAGAAGTCTTCTGTGAGAGTTTTCTGCTTCTTTAGAGGTTCATCTGTGTTCTATTTCTCCCTGAAGCCCTATCTTTATGACCTACTTATAACACAAAAGTATACTGACTGCTGCCAGAAAAGTGTTCTCAGTATTTAAAAAACAGCGTTGTATTTTATTCAAGTCTCTGAGCTCTGTGTAAAGTCTCAGCAAGTATATTAAATTAATTGTACCTGGTATTTTATTCTTGTTTGTATGTTACGTAATGACTCCAGACTCAGAACAGACCTCCCCAGTGTCAGGGAGGGCTGAATGGTGATTTGGCAACTTCCCAGGGTTCTCAAGGAATGAAATCTGCAACCAGTATTTTGAAACTGTGCTAATTTCCACATCATAGCTTTAATATGTAGTAATTTAATACACTGTTAATTTTTAAAGCTTATTCTGTATTTAACATTTAATTACATAATTCCATTTTCTAAAGGTATTTGCACAAAATTTGATTTTACTATGTCTTAAACTAATTTTGGCATAGTAAAATACTTTTTTTAAATAAAAATTATTAAAAAAAATAAAAATTATTAATTTTGCTTATTATGTTTTTATATCCAAGCACAGGGTTTTAAAGCTGTGCCACCAAATGTACCCAGGTGCGTGTTTTAATGATACATTTTTCTTGCAGCTTATATGGATTTCCAAAACAATGCAATAGTATTTACCATTTTTGCAAACTAGCCAATACCAGGACTGGTGTGTTTTCAATGATAACTGAACACACTGGATTCGTTTCTCTGAAAGTGGATTTTGTGGTCTGTTCGGGGAATGGATCCAGCATGATGGGTTGGATGAGAAGCACCTGAAGGATTTAAACGTCGGGCCAAGCTACTGCTGATGAATCAGTACTGTTGTCATAACTGGGATTCCTGTCACTGTCACCGTCATAGCCGCCTTCGTGGCACCTGTGATAATGCACCTGGAGGGCCAGGCTGCCTGACCCTGTGGAGAAAAGCCTTCAGCTTCTACTCATGCCTGCCACCGTCACACTCAGCAAACAGTGTGTTTCTCTGAAAGGACTGAACGTGAAGCATCTCTACCTGAGGGTCCTCGTCAAGCTTTCTCTGTTATGATGACCAGTGCCTTCTGCTGATACCGGGGCGCCTCCTCTGGTACTTTTAGGTATTCTGTTAATTATGTTTACTTTTTGGAACTGTGTAAGCCTAACAAGTAAAAGAACTTTGCCTAAGTTTCTGGTTTCTCCAATGTATTTATGAGTCTGAGTGGAGTGGGAGTGGGGAGGGCCATGGGGAAAAGAAAATAATGAAATCAGAGGAGGAAGTTGGCAGCTGGGTAGTTTTTAAAAAGAAAACTAAAAACCTATTCTTTTGAGAGAAAGCCACCGGACATTGAAGATATATTTACACATGGTCTATAAAACCATTATCTATTTTATTACATAATGAATTGGAAATATTTTGGAACCAATTCTCATAGAGTTCATATCTTAAGAACTAATTTTGAATCTGAACTTTCCTGGACAGACACTGTCCTTTGCATATTTTCGGTGCCTTTTAAATAGGAATTTATTTCAAATGGCTATTTTCATACTGGGGGTATCACTGTCAAGGAGTTGCAGGTGGAGTCACTGGAATGCCATTTTTGCTTTTAAGCCACTTCTGCTGATAGACCCAAAGCAAGCTGCCTGACTAAACAGGACTTTTACATATTGTAGCAAAATGAGAAATCCAAACACAAAACAGCCTTTACAGACTTTTTGGGAACAAAGGCCATGGGCGTGGTAGGCTGCCAGTGATGCTCAGCACAGGTGTGTATCAGTGCTGAGTTTCCTGATTTACTGAATACCTGCAGTGCTTCCACAAACATATCCATTACGATTGCTTCTGTATTTTCCTCAAAAATTTATAACAGAGTAGACATTGTAAGAATGTTTCTGCTGTCTTCCATTCATAATCAGAGATGGAACTTGCATGGACTGAAATGGGTCAATCAGTAGATTCATTCAGCAACTATTTCTTAAACCCTTACTACATGTCAGACCTTCCAGGATGACCCTTGTCCCCTTGTCTGTCCTCCTCACCATGTTATCCCTGGCATCCTCGAATGCCTGGCACACAGGTGCTAGCGTTTTTTGTCCCCAAGCTTTCTATCAACATGTCACCTGCAAAATGTGCTTTCCTTCTGTCTGTAGTAAGTGAAGGCTTTGGGACTTCCCTGGTCCAGTGGCTGAGGCTCCGTGCTCCCCATGCAGGGGGCCCGGGTTCCGCCCCTGGTCAGGGAACTAGATCCCACATGCCGCAGCTAAGAGTTCACACACAGCAACTAAAGATCCCGCATACCGCAACGAAGACCCAGTGCAGACAGATGAAAGAAAGAAAAGGAAGACTTTGTTTTTGGCATTAAGTCTTTTAGCACATGTTTTCACTTTAAAGACACATATTCTTGGAAGGAGCTGGGGTAGGTACAAGAGAAAAGGACATAAACCAGTAATAAGATGATTTATAATAATAATAAATGCTCTAAATTAGACACTGAGAACTGGGAGACAGAACCGGGTGGGGGTTGGGGACTCCTTTGGATGGAGTTGTCAGAGAGGGCCGCTGAGAAAGGGATGCTGAGTTAAGACCCCACTGAACAGACAGAGTCAGGAATGCAGAGATGGATGTGTGAAGTGTCTAGAAAGGGGGCACAGCAAACCTGAAGGCCCGAAGGTGGGGACAAATCTGGCATGTCTGAAAACAGAAGCAAGCCCGTGTGACAGCTTGACTATTGTCACAGTTGTCATTAAACATCCAGCTGATGTCGAATAAACAGGTGCCATGGAAGTCTGGAGCTCAGTGCAGAAGTCAGAGCCAGCGTTATAATTTGGGGACTTACTAGTCATTTTTAACGGTTCTGGAAGCCCACAGGACTGGACAAGATCGTGTTAGGAGAGAAGGAAACAGAGTCAGCCTGAGCAAGAGGGTCAGGGGGATGGAAGGGAAACTCGGGACAGGTTTGTGTAAAGGCAACCAAGGAAAGAGCATTCTGAGAAGCAAGTGGTTGTGTGCCGCGTGTTGCCAAGAGGCCCATCAGGAGAGGACGGGGAAGGGACAGTGTGACCTGCAGCATGGGGGTGACGAGATGGCTCCCGGAAAGGGGGCAGAGTGGGAACTGAGGCTGTAGAGAGCAAGTATGAACATTTGGAGGGTCTACAGGTAGTTCTTTTTATGATTTAAAGACCGGCTAAGGTGGTTTGAGGGAAAACCTGGGATCTCGGGAGTTTTTATTTTAGGGTGGGAGATTCTAGGAAATGTCAATGTGAGATGTGAGGGATAAGTGGGGGGGGGAAGGATGAGGGACTGCACTGACGTCCTGGTGACATGGGTGGGGGAACCCCAGAGTCCAGTGCAGGAATCTTGACAGAGGGTCTACCGTCAAATGGGGGGATAGTGCAGGCACAGAGGAAGCTTTTTCCATTTGCTGACATGAAGATGAGGGTTCTGACATTGATCATTTCTGTTAAGTGTGAGACAGGGTTATTTGCTGAGAATGTCTGACTTTTTACACAGGTTTGCTTTACAGAAATGGCAACATTAATAACAACGACAATGATGGCAACCACTTATGTGATGCTTACTATACTTGGCATGATTCCAAGTGTTTCACGCATTGTTATTGACCCCTCACAAACACCTCTGAAGTGAATACTAGTGCGTTCCCCAGTTTATACTGGCGGTAACTGAGGCACGGATTTAGTATCCAGCCCAAGGTCACACAGCTGCTAAGTCAGTGGCAGAGCTGGGTTTTGAACCCAGACATTTTGGCTCTAGAGTTTATTCATACCATCTATTGGCCCCTTCACCTCTGTCAAGAACATGTAGCCTCTTCCCAGACCATAATCTGGTTCTAAAACACTAGCACAGTTAAAGATGACCATGAATCCAAGAGTTAGGGATTCTAACCCTAACTCTGGTGGTCCATGGCTAAGACTCCACGCTCCCAATGCAGGGGGCCTGGGCTCCATCCCTGGTCAGGGAACTAGCTCCCATGTGCCGCATCTAAGAGTTCGCATGCCACAACTAAAGATCCCATGCAGCCAGATAAATGACTATTAGAATCCAAGAGTTAATCATGAAGTAACTCTACATAAGAGATTAAAGGCAAGTATGATTACATATCAAATTACAGAAGCAATATGTACTGGGAGGTGAAAAAAGGAAGAAACTGGTTCACTGAAACTGAATTTTAAATTTTTGTTCCAGAACTCTGGAAAACAATACCTCTGGTCAGAGTTAAGATCCTCGTACACTGACCCAGAAGGTCTCCTCTGAGGCACATACCCTAGTGAGACACATCCTTGCCCTGATAAGCTTGAACAAGAATGTTCAGGAGAGCTGAAAGTCTAGGTGTCCACCACCTGAAGAACTGATAAGTTCTAGAATGTCTTTGGGCTTCCCTGGTGGCTCAGAGGTTAAAGCATCTGCCTCCAATGTGGGAGACCAGGGTTTGATCCCTGGGTTGGGAAGATCCCCTGGAGAAGGAAATGGTAACCCACTCCAGTATTCTTGCCTGGAGAATCCCATGGACGGAGAAGCCTGGTAGGCTACAGTCCACGGGGTCGCAAAGAGTTGGACACGACTGAATGACTTCACTTTCACTTTCACTAGAATGTCTTTACAGTGTCACATTATGCTGTGGTTAGTATGGGTGAGATACAGCTACATGACACATCTCAATGTTGAGCAAGTTTTAAAACATCACAGAATAAAACTTACAGTTGGATCTCCTTTATGTAATTTGAAACTGTGGAAAATGAAAAATGTATATAGATACACATCTAAAAAAATTAAGAGGATAGACAAAATTCAAGATAGTAGTTACCTCCCCATCTCTAAATCCTTTTACTTAATCACCCCTTATCTGAAAAATTCTGCTTCCCATGTGACATGACACTGTCCAGGGGTTAGGACGTGGGTATCTGGATATCTTTTTGGGGAGTGTCATCAGCTCACCACAGTATGTGATGTGACACTTTGGCAAATGGGTGAGTCAGGGGACTCTGAGGATGGCCTGCCTACTCCTTTTATTCACTCATTCACTCACACCTGACAGATACATTCTGAGCAACTACCTGGTGCCAGAGGGCTTCCCTGGTGGCTCAGACGGTAAAGAATCTGCCTGCAATGCAGGAGACACAGGTTTGATCCCTGGGTTAGGAAGATCCCCTGGAGAAGGAAATGGCAACAACTCACTTCAGTATTCTTGCCTGGAAGAGCATGGCAGGCTGTAGTCCACGGGGTAGCAAAGCGTGGGACATGACTGAGCGACTCAACACCTTGCGGCAGGCATTGTGCTAAACACTGGGTGCTCAGCGATGCCACCTGGATCATCTCTTACCAGCAAACACACGCAAACACAAATTTGTTTTAAACAGCTAACCATGCTTTGGCTTCCCTGGTGGCTCAGAAGGTAAAGAATCTGCCTGCAATGTGGAAGACCCGGGTTCGATCCCTGGGTCAGGAAGATCCTCTGGAGAAGGGAATGGCAACCCACTCCAACATTCTTGCCTGGGACATCCCATGGACAAAGGAGCCTGGTGGATTACAGCCCCTGGGGTCACAAATAGTCAGACATGACTGAGCGACTAATGCCTTGACTTCAGTCATTCTTTACACAGAGAAGAAATTAGGCTATAGTCCTGCCTGAGGGACTTCACTGGCGGTCCAGTGGTTAAGACTCTGAGCTTCTACTGCAGGGGGCATGGGCTTGATCCCTGGTCTGGGAGCTAAGACCCTGCTTGCTATGTGGCCAAAGAAAGAAAGAATAACCTAAAGATCTGTCTGGTATTATTCTGAGCTTCTCTGCCCACAGGTCTGCTGGATATTTTCAGACATTCCCAAACCTAGAATTTCTTTTTACTAGATTACCTTCCTGTCTTATTTCCACACCCCCTCCCCACCCCACCGTCGAGTTTCTACTGATTTTATAACCCAAATTGGGAGTTATTCTGCTCCTTTTTTATTAGGGCAGGATGAGCACAGGGTTAAACGGTCCTGTGCTGGCCTCATTATTATGTGACCTCGGGCTGGTCACGTCGTGTCTCTGGGCCTCAGTTTGGTAATGAAATGCAGTTTGAACTTTAAAATGCTATGATTCTACTGTCTAAATAGAGGGCCCCTATCACTAAGTATCCCCCGTGGGTGCTATTTCCACATCTGTGCTCCATCCTGAAAAGACCTTAATCTC